CGACTTAGTAACTCGTGGCCACGACTTAGTAACTCGTGGCCACAAGGTAGTAACTCGTGGCCACGACTTAGTAACTCGTGGCCACGACATAGTAACTCGTGGTCACGACTTAGTACCTCGTGGCCACGACATAGTATCTCGTGGCCTCGACTTAGCTATCTCGTGGCCACGACTTAGTAACTCATGACCACGACATAGTATCTCGTGGCCACGACTTAGCTATCTCGTGGCCACGACTTAGTAACTCATGACCACGAGATAGTATCTCGTGGCCACGACTTAGCTATCCCGTGGCCACGACTTAGTAACTCGTGGCCACGAGATAAATAAAAACGCACACATGTCACCTTTGTGCCACCGTACTATTGATTATCTTACCTGTCAATGTATTATGCAATGTTGAAAGCAAAGAAAAAATGTATTGTGTTGTATTCTTACAATTCAACATGACCATCAAAACGCTGAAGTAGCTCACCTGTGTAATGTTTGCAACAGCACGGGATACATTGAACTTATTTTTACACTTAGTATTATTTTAACTATTCTTGTACTTCTGGTACTTTTTTGTCCGGGAATGTATTTTACAGGTAATGATTATTTATGTTATGTTTTAAGATATACTGTAAATATCGCATGACTCAGTCGGTTCTGATTTCATTCTTATGGATGGCAAGGCCCGTGCACACAGAGCCCACATCACAAACCGATCTCTTAAGGAGGCAACTATAGTCGCATGGATTGGCCAGCGAGGTTCCCGGATATAAATCTAATAGAGCATGCTTGGGATATGCTGCAGAAAGTCATTTCTTCACGCCTCGGCCAACCAACAACAGTTCTGGAGCTAAGATATGCAATCATAGAAGAATAGGTCTAGATTTCTCATCACCAGTCAGCAGCATGCGGCGGCGATGCCAAGCGTAATTAATGCCCACGGACACCATACTCAGTATTAAACACCGCAAGATTTTTTTATTCCACTATGTGATCTCCAAAATGTTGATTTTCGTCCAGCACACTCTTTCCGCAACAGGCACACGTCAAGGAACACTTCCATTGTCATTATTTTCATAAAAATCAATTCCTAACTAATTATATTTAATTCCCTTTAATCAATTTTCACATTTATTACAAATACACAAAAGTAACGCACTGTATAAAAAGTAATCCTTAAAAGATTTTCAGTAGTATATATGTAGATCATCTTCAAAACCAAAAATTGTTTTACACAACTTCACCCATATGAACCCTGCACTATCAGTCTTTTGTACTATTATTCCTTGCTTAAGACTGTGTTTATAGAAATGACAAATTCCACCATGACCTCTCTTAGATTTTAAACTCTCAGGCCTTGGTACAGAAATAGACTCATACCCGTTCAATGAAAAATTGTTATTACTTTTTTGCCATGTTTCATTCAGAAATATTATGTCAAAATTATATACAAAGTTGAGAAAATCTGCGTCATTTATGCTGGTATTTAATCCCTCGATATTCAACGAAATAATGCTGACAGTGTCACACTTTTCTCCACCTACCTAAGCATTATTTTTACTGCTATATTGTACATTGTCGATAAACAGTTTGTCCCTCACAAGAACAGCTCGCTTGCCCGATTTTCTCGCCTCAAGCATGACTGGGATCAATTCTTTACGCCGATCTTTAACTTCTTGCAGATATTGTTCCGGCACGATATAGTCACTTTGATGAAGCTTAATCTTTTTCAGAATAACATCTTAGAGTCAGTATCAAATTTTGCCACGATTGGTACTGTTTTACCAGGTGTCATCTTACCAATTCTGTGTGCTCGTATTACGTAGTAGGATCACTAATGTGTAAAATTGTCTCACAAAACTCTTTTTCAGCACAATTTTAAGTTGATTCACTGGTACCAGAATATGTAGGAGGGTCGGAAGAAAAGGTACTAGTGCTGCTATCCTCGGTGCATGTAAAGCAATTCTCAATGGATCAAGATTCAAAAGTCGAGACTATGGGATCGAACCTTGGACCTTTGTTAACACCAAAATACAACAAAGTATCCCTCACTGAATGACACTTTAAATCAATGATACTTTCTGTAAATGAGTCATTGTCTAATTACAACTCTGCATTTGCATCTGATAAAGACTTTACTTCAGCCTGTAATTTTGCAATGCTATGTTTGTTTGACACGGAGCAAGCGTTTATTTCGTCATACTGATCGCTCGTGACATTTTGAATTTATTTGATGCTCCATGCTATTCAGTCGGTCCGTTATCTTACTGACACTAGCCTGTATGGAATTTAGCTGACCTAGTTTGTTGTCCATGTTGTCTAGTCGTAAAATTATAATGAGTTCATCAATGGCGGAGGCTGCATTGGCTGCATAGGAAATATAGGATCGAGATGTGTGTTGATAGTAGTTGGGTGCTGAATACATAGTCATTGGTATTATAAGCGGTAACGCAGAAGATTGACCATTTTGTGATGAAATATTATTACCGTTATTACTTAACGCTTTTATTCTTTTAACAAGTTATAATGACAGGGGCTCAAAGCAAAAACACGCAAATTAGCGATATTGACCTGAAGAGAGAGTGCATTGTATTATAGCATCTGTTTCCCTTCGTAACAATTGCCTGACTAATGCACGGGCTGTGCTCAAAGACGATAAAAGAAAAGGTCAGAAATATGAATGTTCTAATGTACGGCCACAATACATGTAACAACTCCGCTGGCAGCGGCATTGATTCAAAACATACTTACCATTCTAAAACATTGTACATGCATATAGTTATTGGCTGGTTTTTACTTAAATGTTGATGTTCAGCAAAGGATTCGTCTATACAATGCTTAAAATATTCGAAAGAATATTCAAAACATCAGTCACCATTGGCTAATGTGATATCAGCGGTGTTTGAACTATTTTGGTACATTCGGTCGAATATGACAGTCATCTCATAGGCAGCCTATCGTTCAGAACGTTATGAAATCAGCCTTGCAGATTATTGTTGGGTGATTATTTCAACCATTTTATATTAAAATACATGTATGGTATAATATTTCGGTTATTATTTAAGAGTTGGAAAATGTTTTGTGCAAAACTACACAAAGTTCCTATGCATGTTTATTTTTGGTGACAATACTATCTAAAATAAGCAAAATACTGTTTAGGAATAAAGTTTAACATTTGGATTATCATGCTTCTTAAATAAATTGGTTATTCTTGACAATGATTTTTCTCCCTTTTACAATTTTCTGCCGTGTAAACTATATGTTAATGAATGGGAAACTAAATCTATCTTTTCTTGTTTAAGTGTCTATAAAAAGATAATGTTCTCATGGTAAGTATTTTGCCGCTGGTTCTTGTTGCTGGGTCGTGTGGGTGTTGCGTTCATTGAACGCCGCCCTTCCTTGTTGATCTTGCGTATCATGTATTCCTCTACTTAATCTGAAACTTAAAACTGATAACAAAGCAAATTGAATGCCAAAAAATGGGAAGATTATTCGAGTGTAACATATGTTGATGTTCACGGGGTTTTTAAAAATGTTTGATCTTTTGTTTATTACAAAAGTACTTTTTTCTATTAAAAACTTTGTTATTCCTCTACAAAGACGAAACTCTCCTATACTGAAATAGTAATAAACGGAATCTCTAAAGAGCGCCCAAAACGACAATGTTGAAAATGTTGCGGGCTTTGTTTGATTTAGCCTATTAATGAACGGTAATGAAAAGCGCAAGTTACCGTCCTTGCCTCCTAAGCACCGGCTTTTAAAGCCAGAATTCAACTTTTAAAAACATGGTAATGGTGAAATGTTGAGTTTAGAAACATCCGTTATGTTTTTCATGAAGTCGAACAATTAGTGGAGAATAAAATACAATTGTACATGAAAAAAGACATGTTCAAGAAGCAGTGTGCTCAACTTTTCTCAGTACTTGATAGTATGGTTAAGTTTTAAAGTCCCGGGCATTTATTGATCATTATGAAAACTTCTTCTTTGATTTTGTTTCCTTTATTGTAAATATTTACAGTTTCGAATTAATATATGTGATAATTTTTGAGAAAATTACAAAAAAATATAAAAGAAAGATTTTATAAGTGAAAGGTAACCTGTCCTAAAGAAATGCATTTCTTGTTCTAATAGTGATCATGTATTTTAAGTTTAAAGTGAATATACTTGATAGGTTTTTAGTAATATAAGAAGCATATGAATTAGGAGATATAGAAATAGACCAAACATGTTTAAGTCTCTCCAAATATTACGCAGTGATATGAATAAAGAGAAAAAAAGCTTTGTAAATATATAAATGAACCTTTCAAATTACGATACCAGGCCAGATTGTTAGTAATGTTCATGTAATTCAACCTATTTTTTGTGCACTTAACGTTTCCAAATATGTTTTACAGTAAATTGAAGGTTGTACTTTATTATCATGTTTATTTCTATGTTGTTATATGTACAATGTTTATAGTTTTGTCCGTGCACTTTATCTTTGTTAAATTATTTAATTTCATGTCATTTGCACTTTTCATGCCATTATGTGCATGTTTGTTTAAAAATTGTAGATGAAACTTGTAGTTTAAGTAATCGGGTAAAGGGGGTTTTAAACTTCTTTTTTAGTTTCTTTAAATTTTAAGGTGGCCCGGTTTTTGTTTCCCCCCGGGCCAAATTATTTTTGAAAGACAGCAAAATTTTTTACTACGCATCATATTTTCCCAAACAATTTTTTAATTTAAATTTATTCCACTGCAAAATTTATTGATAAAAGAATTTATATTTATTCGGGTTGTTTGGGAACCCCAAAATTTGTAGACACACTCTTGAAATCCGCTTCTGGAACCAACCATCACCATGCATTGTGTGTAAAGCATCTTACTCTAGACAATAACGGGGCTTGCCTCTGATGGGGTTTGAACCCGCGCAGTCTGCCAACCCAAGATTACAATTCCGATGTGTTTATGATTGTCGCCACTGTTCCATGTATAAACAATATTAAATATGTTATATCATATAGTTTAACAAATTAAAAGAAGCAGTTTTTCATGCTAGATTTATTCTGAAAGAAATAGTACATGTATAATAGCAAATTTTATAAAGCATGTCAGAGAACTACTGCAATAGTTTTGGAACAATGTCAAGGCCATTCTACGACATGGTACTCTAAGCTTGTCGGGTTGTCTAAATGTGTCACTTCTTTTATATGTAATCCTCCAGAACAATTCTGCGTTGCAATCTAAATAAATAAATTTAATTTAAGACACCGGTATTCAAAATGCATAAAAAAACCATGTGCATTTAGATATATGTATATGTGTAGAAAAAAGTACATGTAAATCCTTAGCATTTGGTACAAAACATGAAATTATGTATTACTTACAAACGATTTTTTCTTTGCCAGTTTTTCTGAATACATTATATTAAAAAAATAACCGGGAACTGAGCGTGATTTACCTAAATCCCTTTGATACCAGTATAGATAGATACTTTTAATTCCTCCAAAGACGAAGAGCATAACAGTATTTACAAAATAATAATACAAATATAATACAATTTAAATATTATGCAACTACATAATAGCAAAAATATAATATAACAGAAACAAAAATCATATATAATGGAATCTCTATTGCTTCTTAAAGCGATAAAATGTTAATGTTTATACATATTCACTTTATAAGCACATTTATAATTGATAAGATAAAGTATTTCATTCTATGGCACACATGCTTTTTTATTGATTTATCTTTTATCTAGCAACAAAAATGTATAAGAAAAAATGACAACTTCTAGTATATCCTTAAAATGATTGTAAGCATTTCTCCTTTATATAGCTTTAACGAAATCTAAACTAAAGCTTTTAAAGTCGGAAACACATTTTATTGATTTCTTCAAAAATAATTACGGGAATGGGCATATAAGTCACATCATCTTAACAGCAGATATAGAGATATATAGTTAATATAAAGCTGCTAAAGTGTATCAAAGTTTTTTTTGCTTTTTTTTTCATTTATCTTTAAAAAAAAGAGAATTCTTAAATTCATGAAAGTAAATACCGAGCAGCTAAAAAGTAAAGTTAAGTACTACGACAATAACTAACTTACATGGATAGATTGTTGATTACAGGCCAATAATATACCGGCTGACTGCTGATATGTTGAGTGGTGGTCAAATACGGCCACGGGCTCATACTGTCCTAACTGATTACAGTTCTCCGTCACCTTTGAATAATATAAAACATAGAAAAAAGCAAAATGTTGACGGTGAAATTGATGCATGTATTACGTCAATAAGTGTTCTGACCTGGAACGATTAAACACAAGACAAGTCTCTGGAACAGCCAGTTCAACTCAGATCAAAGTCACAAAGGTGTTCAGATTCCGAGCAAAAGATTACAAGGCCGAAGCACAAACCATGCTTACACACTTGTAAATTCCTTATCTACTGACTTGTTAGGTTTCTATACAAATTACCTTTATTCCTCTTAGCCATAATGAAGGGTCTGGCGCGCTACAAAATGCGACGACGGCGGCGTCGGAGTCGTGGTTGGTAGTCCCGGGACATTTCAATGAGGTTTGTATACCAACGTTCTTCTTGTAGGCGATATCACTAAAAAGTGCGAGCTTGTTGCAACGGGAAGGTCGAGCCGTTGTTGTTGTAACTACAAAGACGTAAATCATGAATAATGTTTTCATAATAATCGTAAAAGAAGAAACAGATTTATATTGTATATTTAAACTGTTAAATTTATAATAATTATTTTCATCATATTTTCTTGTCTTGTTGTATAAAATTCAAATTCATATAAATAAAACATTCACCATTGTTTTGAATATAAAATAAGCTATTATGATGGGTAAAACATTTGCGTTAAGTTTGTGTACGGATCTTTTTTTATTTTATTTTATTATTATTGTTTTGGCCATTTTCCTTCCCCCCCCCCCCCCCCAAGCTTAATCCGGTGCTAGGGACTTGAACAATGCACTACCGTCAATAAATAGGCTCAATCGTACCAAGTCTGAATTTGGACGTGATGGCCGACTTTAAAGATTCACACTTTTATATTTTATTCAGAAAACAACGAAACGTACGTCTGTCATAATTCTCCGTGACGTATGAAGGACAAGGGCTCACGTTTGTGTTAGAATCATTGATGACGAAACCAACCTGTTGAAAATAAATATCTCACATGTTAATATAAACAATGTCATACATATATCAGTTCTATCCATTGATGGTGTTCGAAATTACAGTTATGGTTTGGCTTAACACCATTTTGCAGTAGGAATTCATTATATTAGACTATAACTGAGACAAATTACCGAGGTTGGGTGTTTATTTCAGTATTAACTTACAACTCGAAAGTAACTTTAATACGTTAATCATATAAGTACTTGAATCGGCAGTAAGGGAGTAAGTTGTCTGCGATACCTGTTTTCTTTCGAGCCAAACTTTGCCTAGTAAGGAATAAAAACTTCAAGACTTCGTATATAAAGCATTAAATCAATTTCAGTCAAATCATTTTTGTATTATCTTTGTAGATATTGTTTCAAAAATGTTTATATGAACGTTTATAGAAAAACGGTTTAAAGGGAGACAACTTGGTCGAAACGTGTGGTGGGAACATTCACATATCTAACGACCAATGAAAAAAACATAGAATATTTTCACCATCAAATGCAATGTATGCCTATTTCTATTCACCAAATGCTGTTTATTTTTGGTGTACTTCATAGTTTCCTGGCCAATCTCATGAACCATCTAGAGTTTTTGTATTTCATGTTGATGTTTTTTGTTGTTGTTTTGGGGGTTACTACAGTTTTAGTGCTGTAGTAGTTTGTATGAAAGTCAAAACACTAGCTACTTTGTTTAACATTTTGCTACTTTTATGATAAATAAATTATCTCACATGCATTTCACTGAATTGTTGCTACTTTCGTCATGTTACAATCATGTAACATATGTAACATATGCTCAAAATGCATTATTTAAACGTTATATAAATTGAGCCGCGCCAACATCTACTTGTTATAGGGTTTGTAAGCGAACAGCATGGATCTTGATCAGACTGCGCGGATGCATGCTGGTCGTAAACCCATTATGTTGGTTTTGTCGTGGCGCGGCTCAATTAATGTTTGTCCTTTCTAAAACAGTAGATATATATAAACTTGTTTATGAGGCATAATGTGCCTTTAAATAAGACGTTATATTTCCTGGACTTGGCTAAAATTTAACAAAGAGTAAAAGTTTTATTCATTAATATGTTAGGAAGTGGAATCATTTTAATTTATTTTAATTTATTTATTTTCATTTCAAAATGTCGTGCTTTATTTTATTTATGTATGAAACTTTTCTTGGTAATAAAGTTTACAGTCTCCAAGGTACATGTTCCCTAGAGGAGTCGAATGAGTACTAGGTCGTTGAAAAATTATCAAATCATTATGCTGTGTACAAACACATTGTTGCTGCTGGGTGTGGACCGGTAAAGCGGGTGCCGGGGTTGGAATCTGAAACAGACCGGCTACTGCAGGTGTGAAATGAAATGAATTTTAATGCCTCCAGATGAACCTAAATGTATATATATTAAAGCCCTATTGTTGATCAGGTCTTCATATATGCATGTATACAAACAACTTATTACAATCTCATCTGCTCATCAGTTCCGAAAAGTTTAAAATAAACGAAAAGACCAAAAACACGAACTGGTAACACCTATATATTAAAGACGATTCTACATAATAAAATTATAGTGTTCTTTTAACTCTATATAACAACGGTTCTACATAATATATTCATTAATGTACATCGTATAATGAAAGACTGACATCATATAAGGATGTATTTACATAATATATATTGTTAAGTTGACTCTATATAAAGACGGTTCTACATAATTTAATGTTGTTTTAACTCTATATAAAGATGGTTCCACATAATATATTTGTAATTGCACATCGTATAATGAAAGATTTACATCATATAAGGACACATTTACATCATATATTGTTAAGTTGACCAGGTTTGACTGGTGACATTGTCAAGGACAAACCGATATAATATATTGTTATTTTGACCTTATATATTGAAAAATACGCATCGAATAATGATATATTGACATCACATAAAGACACATTGACATCATAAATTGTTCAGTTGACTACATATAAAGAAGGATTCACATAATATATTAATGAGTGTACATTGTATAAGGAAAGGTTGACTCAATATATTGCTATTTGGACATAACACTATTTAGGTTTATAATTATTAGACAGTCAAGGCTTTCCATATCAGAGCATTTAAGCAGATATTAACAACAAATATGTGATCTCGGTAGTTGTTGACTTTAAAATCAGTGGTCTCAATAATGAGTTCAAATAAAGAATAAATCGAAGAATTGGGACTGAATCTGGTGGTCTTAAAAGTGAATGACCGGGTTGGTCTTAATTCTGGAGCATGAAACTATTGACATAAAGAACAGAAAATTCCGTTCTTTTAAAAATTGGTCTGAATAGCAGGGTGGTCTTAAATCTGAGTTGGTCTTAAGTAGGGATTCTACTATAAATGGAAGTCTGGTTATCTTTTAAAATACATTTGGTAAACAGCCATTTATACTATTCTTGTTATAAGTATTCTTTCAAGGCTTCTGCTAATTAAATATTTGAAGTTTAACAGAAACACAGCTATCAGTGCTTCGACGTTGCTCAATTGTCTACCTATATATTGAGTAAAATACAAATGGGCACATTAAAGTGACATTCTGTTCATTTTTTAATAGTCAAGTTGAGCTGAATGGACTTTATTTTTAAAAAGATTGGCTTTTATAATGATGATTGACCAAAAGTTAATGGAAAACGATAAGGTTAAAACATAAATGTAATTAAAATTTAAAAAGACTGCCCCACTCTTTTTAAAAAATTGTCTGTTACAGTTCAATTACGATGCATATTGACAGACATTTCATTGCGACATGTTAATATTTTTCATTTATACAAAGAATGATAAAAAATTGAAAGGTAAAATGTAAACTTATTTTGACTTCCATCTGTCCACTCTCTACATACCCTTGGGTGGGCATAATGTCACTTTTAGAAGGGCATCTGAACATACGGTGCCTTTACTAAGTGACATTTTTCGGGTTCGCATTAGACAAATAACGATCACATTTTTTATTTTATTCTTGAAAATTTCATTTCATTTTATATGGAATTAAGTGAAGAGCTAGCTCATTCTAGTGATTAACTTATGGAGCAAAATTTAGGTATTTATTCATTTGACTACTTGTTGTTTTCATTTGCTTAAGTTTAAATCATATTCCCACAAATTTGATTCATCTGTGAGTTACTTAAGTATTTATTTATTCTTTCTTACTATGTTTATAGTAAGTTGTAGTATTCTAAAGACAATGTCAGTACTTCATCTTAATTCGTTTAATTTAATATTAAATACCAATAAATTACTTTTTGTTTCAAACATGTGCTATTTCTACTTATTTAAAAGAAATTGTGTTTTCTCGAACTTGTTTCTTACAAATGTATTTGTGCCACCCTGGATTTCGTGGATTTTTTTAAAGAGAATATTTCAACGGATACACCGTCAGAAATTACGGACTTGTACGGAAATATTGGTTCCCGGCCAGATGTATAAAATTAAATTTCATATGTAATCTCGTATTCGTGTTATTGCAGTTCGTATTCGTGAAGGTGCATTCGTATAGATTTAATTTCAGTGTTATGTAATCCACTTTGTATTCTTAAAAGAAAGGACTTTCAAGATTATAAGTTTAAACTAAATTATTCAAATTGAAAAGGAAGAAGTATGCAACATAATATCTGATCACGTAGTTTAAACAAGAAGTAAAAACAATTTATCCTTACATTTTGCAGTATCAAAATACAAATGTTTAACTGTCAATTAAAAAGTAGCAATTAAACTTGTTTAAATCAATATAAATTTATATGATTATAGAGAAGAATTTAATGAATACGAATATAAATTAGATAAATAGAATTTGAAAGATAAACAGCGAATAAATACCCAAATTCTGCTCCATATAAACACATGCATTGAATTTTACTTAAAAGGCTACGGCAAAACAAACGATCCTGGACATTTTGGTTTTTGCCCCCCCCCCCCAATAAATCATAAAAAGATGACGTGGTATAGGCACCATGATATTGAAAGAGGAATATTTTGGTAAACATCTAATTTATTATACAGTCTGCCTATTGCTGAGATCTATATAACTGAACTGCAGCATTTGTACATGCGTTAAATTTGGGTGCAGATAATTAAATAGTAAATATTGTTAATTACACTTGGAGGCAGATAGATATCTTTATTACGTATAATACTATATTAAATAATTATGTATTCAATATTTTATGGTAATATCCAATGACTATATTTCACAAACTTTAAATAATACGATGTGGAAATTTACTTACATAAGCACAAATGAAAATAAATTATTAAAAGGCCGGGCGAAAAAGATAATTTTACTTTTACGTGGACGTTAAAAAATGAAGTTTTATAAATATCTGATATACTTTATCATTTTATATATGTTTAACTATATAACGTACCTGAAATTTCTGATATTGTCTTCATTTTGATATATATAAGGGGGTCAGTATACGTTTCCGTACCGTATATATACATATGACTACTTTACAGACTGACTACTTCATTCAGGTGTTCAAATTATACTTTACGTTAATTAAAGCAGCATGATATAAACACTGATCATATTGAATGTTTACTACTCAGGTAATGTTAATGCATACCTGAAATAAAACAAATATAATTTAGTACTTTGTATGACACTAGTGCTACTGCTATTGTTGTGCTATTGCTACTGTGCTACTGTTACTGATTAGCTATTGCCACTGCTGTGCTTCTGCTACTGCTGTGTTACCGCTGCTGCTGTGTTATTGCTACTGTTTTGCTACTGCCACTGCTATGCTATGTGTGCTACTGGTGTGCTACTGCTACTGTCGGCTACTGCTACTACTGTGCTACTGCTACTGTCAATTTCACGTTTAATTATGTTGCAACTGCTACTTCTGTGCTACTGCTACCGCTGCGCAACTGCTTCTGCCAATTTAACGTTTTATAATTTGCTACTGCTACTGCTATGCTTCTGCTACTGCCAATTTAACGTTTTATAATTTTGCTA